CTTTGGGGGCTCACATGAGGCGTAGTTAGACGGCGAATATTTTAGCCTGGGCTTCCGTTACAACAATTTGGCGAGGTGATATCTCGGGCTGGGCCTCCGTTACAACATCTCCCTCCATAGACCTGCTGACTGCGAATGCCATTGGACACAGTAATCGACGAACATTGGGGCCGTCTATGCTTGTCACTACCAGCATCACGGTTGCGCAAACAGTCCTGTTTGTGGCCACATGGATAGCTTTTGATTAAGGAAATGAAAAGCATGCTGTCGGAATCATTTGCACTCCCAGTATCGAATTAATTTATAAACTTCCGATTTGTGTGGAAAACGCCAGGTTAATAAACACACAGTTTCAAAAATCGCCTCCATCCCACATTTGGGTAAATGCACGTGCATTCCTGCCCTCGAGAATGTCTGATTCTCAGAACAGAAGTTGTTTTGACCGCTACACAGCTATATTTGGGCTTCTTTCAGTGAATCACCTGCTTCTTCGTCAGAATGAGGGATTAGTCATGCTGGGAACGGAATCCCTTTTACACACCGTTTGTCTCAATTTAGTATGACATAAATGCAAATTAAAAGGGCAAGAAATTCTGCCTATTTCAGCTGGTTATCATGTGGTCGAAGGTCACATAAATTTTTGGACCAAACACATGTCAACCAAGACTTCAAAGTAGTTGTGCTTCTTAGAACATTAACCAGCAAGAATGGCGTATGTGGCCTCCCTAAACAAAAGAACAGGAACCACCCGAAGACGGGTGTCTTTGCGCCAAGTCCCGGGGAAAATCGGTTTAGGTTTATGCTTAGAATTAAGTTTGGTTAGGGTTAAGGTTATTACTAACTGTAGGTTTGCGTTTATATAAGTACTAATTTAATTTATTTAATGATTGCAAGTTTACAGGCAACGTCACAAGAGATATACAGTGCAGAATCAAGTTGACGATAAAAAAAGTCTCCTAATTATTAAGAATTTTTCTTCTGCTCACAGGAAAAAATTTGTAGATTTGCTGATATTTCGGACAGCTAGGCTGGCTGTCCTTTGTCAAAGCGATTACTGACTTTATCAATCAGCAAGTTTAAAGTTGCAGCTGTGTGTGTTGGCCTTGGATTGATCGATTTTTCTCCGGTCGCTGTTTGGCCACGTGTGTGGATTTAGGCTTGGTGTGACGGCAGTTGGTCTTCTGTTTCGTCCCCACGGTAGAGGATATTGGTAACCCTGCTCCCTCTTCCGGTGGTTTCGTCCCAGAGCCGTCTTCGTCTGCAAATCCTGACTCCGGTTTGACCGTGTCCTGTCCTTTGCTTACGTAATGGCGTAGGACTTTGTAGGCCGCAGGGAGGTCCAGATGCCTGTTGACAGATTTGGCGCCTGATTGCCATGCCTCAAGCGTCAATCTTTCCGATTTTGTGGCTCCTTGGCCTGCGATGGTCGTTCCTTGGATATCGAAGTTGCAGCCAGTCTCTCCGATCTGTGTTGCAAGCTGTGAGTTAGGGTCTAGCCTCCGGGCAACTTTAAACTTGCTGATCGATAAAGCCAGTATTCGCTTCGACACAGGACAGCAGGCCCAGTTGGCCTAAACGTCAGCAAATCTACAAATTTATTCCGGTGAGCACAAGATGAACTCTTATTCTTGTCCCAGAATTCTGACTTTTTCAAATTTTAACTCCTAATCATCCTTTCTAGCGTTTTTTGGGAGTAAAAACTACAGCTCGTTGGATTGTTGAAGTTCGGGACGGCGAAGGGTTGAAAAAAGGTGCATGGTGTGGTCAGTCTCCCTTCAGTGTTACGGATCCGGTATTATACACCAGATAATAATGTGTCGGCGAACGGTTGCTCGCTCTCGGCTGAAGAAGTAGCCGATCGCGGGCTGTAGATTCAGCAACATTGTCCCCAGCACGAAGCCTAGCACAGGGTTCAGAGTCCGCGAACGCCATCAGAGTGTAGGAGAGGTTCCACCGAGTCAGCACCCAAAATTCCTGAAAGGTGTTCTGAATGTAGAAAACTAGTTAAAGCTCCCTTAGAAAGGGGATAGCTTTGCTGAGTTTCAATACTTATTCCAGATTGCTATGGCGTTAACTGAAAAAAATGGCGATAACTAACTGTACGTGTCAAAGGAAGAAATAAAAAGACATCCTGATAATTGTTGAGCCAACAGTGGTCGAGCGCTCTCGCAGAGTACTAAGGCGATTAAAGGTACGGCTGTTTAAAAGTTGACACAGTAAAAGTAGACCCTTCTGTAATCTACGAAGCCACAACGGATCGAGGTTAGGAAGTTGGGTTTAGAATACTGGAATATTTACCATTATTGAAATCATCCTCAGATCATCGTTATTGCTTGGGCAGGGCGTCCCCATTCCCATGTTCAGTAACGATAGCGTGCAAGTATCACCATTGTATCACACAAGCCCAAAATCTCTAATACACAAACGATAGTAATCTAGAAAACATTTTTTTATGTGGCGGTAGCAAATGAAAATTAACATTTAGAGTACTGTGATTGGTTCGTTACAACTATCGAAACGCACGTTAGATGAAAATATCAACATAGCAGATAGGTGCAATGGAGACCTAGTCTTAATTAAGGAGCTTTTCGTTGGTTGGATCGGTTGGTTATATCTTGAAATATGTTGGCTTATACAATCTATACATGAGGAAAGATAAGTTTCTATTTCACCACCGGTCCCTTCATACATAACTCAGGGGGGTTTGGGCATTCATTGGTGATACGTATAACTTATCCTTACCGCGTGTTCTGGTAAAGGGGCCATATAAATAATCCTTACCCATTAAACAGTACGACGGTTCCAACGAACTATCCCAACTTTTTTCGGGTAAACAATGAATCAGCAATGCTTTCGTGCATTGCGGCCAGCGAATGTCTTCCTCCTAACGACCCCTGGAGCTGTTAGGAGCCGATTTAAACATATCCACCTACAACAGCGACTATTTACTCAGTGACTCGGCCATTTCCCGTGCCTACGCACGTCCGTTCTCTCTCACTCAGTCCGCAGATCTGCCTGAATAACCTCCACCTGCCCTTCAACATAAGTGTATGTCCTCTCTGTGGCTGCGGCGCATTCGAACGCTCCCTCTCTCTCATGGTCGCGCCGTCCAGCTG